CGCAATGGTGTTATTTTCACACGTGAAAATAACATGTTATTTTCACGTGTGAAGATATCAATTTTTCGAAATAGAGAAAAATAGACATTTCATTGGTAATTATATAATAAACAGTGTTATGTCATATTGCTTACCCATACTAAATCCCCCTGTGCCGTTTAGTATCCTTCTTGCTCTATCTTTAGCGTCGGCAGGAAACCTTGGGTCATCTAGCAGTTCAGGATTAACACACATTGAAATAACCTATCCAAACACAATAGCACAATATTATTATACTTCATTCTTTAGTGTGTGCTACCTGTGGTTAGAAAGATGAGAGAGACAGGACACAAGAGAAAAAAGTTGCTGATACCTCGATACACTGATACTGCATTCATTGTTCTACCTCCCTAGTTACTGTTGCTATGTTGGACAAGCTAAGATGTGATGGAATAAACACCGATTGTTGAAAATTGTGAATTTGTGTCTTAGATTTCATTAAGGAAAAAATAATGATAATTGCTAAAAATTCTTATGGCTTTGAGTTTGTTGGTCAGGCATTCTATATTCCATTAGCAAAAATGAAAACTACAGTACCCATTGTTTGAGTGGACACTCAAGCATAGCCTGTATCAGTTTATCCCTGTACATGACACTATATTTTAGTAGAGTTGTTTATTTGTATGGATAATGCATCACTATTTTTCTCTTGTGTCCAGAAAAGACAGAGCTATTGCACATAAAGTTTAGACCAGACATTGAAGAGAAGACCAGCAGATTTCGGCCATGCCAGATATTTGAATATGAAGTGAAGATGTTGGCTTGACATCTTTGACTTAAAAACAATAGTACTAAAGATTTATTATAAATACTGATTCAAAATGAATTCCATGGGAAATTTTATGGTTAAGAGAAAAATAAATAATCAAGATTAGAGAGCAACAGTCATTTGCATTAGCCAACCAGGATTAAGGAAAACCCTGAGTGGACTTTACATTGTATTGAATCGTTGGACTGTTTGAAGGGAATATAATTCCAAGATGGTGTTTGCTTTGTCCCCTAAAACAGTCACACAATGCATTGCAATATTAACTCGGCATTTTTACATAATATGTGAAATTAATAGAAAGTGAAAATAAACCGGAAAGTAGCAAAGTAGTCATTCTTACCTGACGTGGAAATGTCAGTGGTTTCATTCCAAGAGCATGCGCATCTCCAATGTTTGCCTTGACGACATGATCAAAAGGCTTTGATTGACCCTATGGGAAAAAATACATAATAATAAAATTACTACAATACAAAACATTCCCATCCCTCTCCCTATTGGTAAAAGATGGCAAGGAGAAAAGGTCAAACTAATAGACCTTTTTAGAGTTGCGTGAGCACTGTCAAAAGTAGCACATGCTCAGATTCGAAAACAAGGCATTTTCAGGCAAGGCTATTACACTCGTGAAAAACACATACAAACCTTTGAAAATTATGTTAAGGTGGCTGCCTACTTTTGAACGTTCGATTTGAGCCCATGATGTGCGCGTGCTCAAAAACCGCTGAAAAATCTACAAGATTTTATTGAAGAACCATACGCGTTTTGAGCTTCAACAGGGCAAAACCCTCAAATTTTGCACGGGACTCTATACTTTTTGATAGCTCATTCGAAAAAACTCCTAAAAATCTAGGTTATATCAACATTTTAGGAAAAGTTTAAATCAGGAATACGTGAAAAAATAGCTTTTTGTAGGGATTTTTGTTCGACTTTATGAGATTTTTTAAAGTGTATATGACACGAAAACATTCCATCATTTAAAATGTATAGTTTGTTAGTAATAAT